GGGGGTAGCCAGAGGGAGAGCGAGAGGGAGAAAACGATAGCAAGAAAAAAAGAAGAAAGAAAGACAGGAAAATAGGCGGAACCCTAAATCTTCTCCATCCTCCCAACGCCACCCTGACCAATATCCATCTCCATATATACCAAATAAGGAACAGCAAACACAGTTTCTTACAGTACGAATACAGTTTCCCCTTCCCCTTCTCCTTCGGATAAGACGACTAGTCTGACACGTATCTATCGGATAAACAAACTCAGTCCATTTACCCCAGCCTCTCCCTTCATTCAGGCAACATGAACAGCAAACAGAACATCACGACGACTGAAATATTCAGCTGCAGGTTGGCAGAGGAAGCTTACGGCATTAACTCATTGAAGACGAGCGTTCACGCAATACGCCAACGCCTGAAGTCTGAAGGTGCCCTGTTTTGCGGTACTTTAAATAAAAGAAGTATAACTAGAACTTCGTTATTCATACAGATTTTTCGATTCTGTTTTCTTTCTCTTTATTTTAGTAAGAGTTTTATGGCGCTCGCAACTGCATAAGGTCATATGAGTGCCGAAGATTTGAGGTGTCACAAGAGAGTAACAAACACAAAAAAGAAGGATGAGGAGATAAAGACGATAGATGTTTAATAGAAAAGAAGGAGCCAAACGACACCAGAACATCCGCCAATCACCCACATTCTTTCTCTGAAGTAGCAACACGCATACTAATGAAATATACCAACTCGTGTTTCTGAATCATTGTGTATGACGGTTCGAAAGGAGCCAAAACATTATCGTTGGTCTGCTGATCGGACATATTACTTGGAGTCTGATACGCCCGTAAAGAGTTAAGACACTAAACGACCTTGAGCAGATAGATACACTGCCTTGAATGGTAGGTAAACCGACCCTGACGCTTTGCGGGTACAGTTTGCACTATGCGGAACAACGCCCCACCTTTCAATCATCTTTCTTCCAACCCGCCTTTTCCATGCTGTTTTTCTCTCTTTCTACCTGCCCTACTTCCCCATCCTCTTACAGCGTTTTATGATAAACGAAAGAAGGAGACAGACGGAAAAGATAGATAGAGAGAGAGAGAGGGGGAGAGGGAGAGAGGGACAGAGAGAGAAAGAGATAGAGAAAGAGAGAGAATGAGAGACTGTGAGAGAGGCAGAGAGGGATAGAGATAGAGCGAGTGAATGAGATAGAGAGAGAGAGAGAAAGAGAAAGAGAAAGAAAGAGAGAAAGAGAGTGAGAGAGACACAGAGAGAGTTAATGAGATAGAGAGAGGGACAGAGAGAGAAGGAGAGACAGAGAAGGAGAGAGAAAAAGAGAAAGAGAGAGAGAGAGAGAAAGAGAGAGAGAGAGAGAGAGAGAGAGAGAGAGAGAGAGAGAGAGAGAGAGAGAGACGCCAGGCAATCTGTTAGTAGTTAGCCAGTAAAAGTTTGTGTTTTTTTAACGCCAAAAATTGTTTTCGGTTAATCAATTATTTCCGTGATCAGAATACACTGTGAACAAATAAACATGAAGAAGTCTTCAGAAATTATGGTTGAATTGATATCTTCAAGTTTAGTTTTGGTTTAAGTAAGCAAGAGTTTTACAGCACTTGCTGCACAAGTAGGTCATATTGGTGCTGAAGATTAGAGGTGTTCTTCAAGGGTAACATACAAAGAAAAGAAGAAGGAGAGATAACGAAGATAGATGTTTGACAAGGAAAGGAGGAGAAAACCACCTATGACACCTTTAACAACAGCTCTTTTCAGTCCTTTTTTCAAGTAGGTGTTTTTACGTCAACACCGACACAATGAAGATAATTTGGGAGACAGACTTTCAACCCTGTCTGTCACGGCCAACCCGTTCTGAGAGGGACACAACATCCCAGCAGAAATACCAAGACCCTCGAAACAGATTTTCTCCCCACTTGGGAACCGGACTCGGGTCTCCTTCCAGCGATAGCGAAGCCCCTAACCACTACACAATAGATTCTATGCGCCGGTTCTTTCCAGTGCAAATGAAAAGAGGAAAAAAGTAGAAGACAATAAAAGCACGCTCATTACCATAATAAGCAGGCGTAGAACAGACAATGACCTTGAGACCGCGGA